CTTCTAATGTTTACTCAGCGTGTCTGTCATCTGAGTGTGATATCATGCGTTGTACGCACGCTTTGCTGATTCTTCTCCCCTCCCCTTGCGTTGTACCTCCCCTTCCCCCTCCCAGGTGTCAGCTGGAAGCGCGCAAAGGCAGAGCTGATGTCATTCGTCAACATCATGGACGCGCATCACGGGGAGATGGCGTACTACGTCAGCCTGCGGCACATGCTGGGGACACGTGACTGGGAAGATGCCTATCCCAATCTTATTAAGGTTTGGGTGGCAATCGTCGTGCTCCCGTTGAGCACGGTGGAGTGCGAGCGGGGATTTTCCTGCCAGAACGTCATTAAGAGCTGGTCTTGGGGCAACCTCTGTGATGCCCGCTTGGGCGACATTGCGTGCATCTCCCTCCTGCATGATTACGACATGCAGTGGGATGAGATCGTCGACATATGGAAGGCCACCATGCCAATGTGGCCTAGCCAGGATGCAATTGCCCCCATTCTTGCCCTAATGTCTAGGAAGAGGAAGAGCAAGGCCGAGGCAAAGAAGAGAAGGAAGATTGCTGAGCTCGAGGCTTAGATCAGGAAGTGGAAGGGGATGGCTGTGATTGAGGAGGATGGGCTGGAGGAAGGAGAGGTGGAAGAGGAGGAGGAGGAGGAGGTAGAGGAGGAGGTGGCGGAATTTGATGATGACGAGTTGGTAAATGTAGGGAATGGCCATCTGCCTGCATGCTTGTTTGTAACTTACAACTTCTAACTGAATCAAAGTGCTAAACTGTATCATCCATTGTCACACACAGTAATCGACTAAGTAGTAGAATTTCTTTGAATTTTCATACAATGGTTCTCAAATTCTCTGGAAAATCAGACAAGTTTTTCAAAATTCTCTGATCATGTAAAGCGCATCAGACAAAGTGCGCAGAACGTATCTGATTGCTCAGACACGTTTTTTTCCAAAAGCGAACCCTGCCCACCAGGATCCTAAATAGCAGAGGTTTTTTTGTCAGATTTTCTTATTTTCATATTGGTTTTTAGGGGCTTCTCTGATTTTTCAGACAACGGATTGAAAGAACTCTGATTGGCCTAGACAAGCTTTTAAGATTTCTCTGAGTTTCTCAGACTAGGTGTACTAGTTTCTCTGATTTTTAGACAAGTGAATCGAGTTTCTCTAAAACAGAGACATACATGTGTACCTGCTCCCACGCAAGTCTTCACTGTTTCGCACCGCCACATGTCGCTCCCCCCCCAGCGTCCTTTGCGTTGTCCTCCTCACGCGTGACGTGAGCCTTCCGAGACTTCTTTGACAGCATGTGATGTGGCGAGAGCACGTGTGATCGGATACTTAGCGGTTTTGCTACAAAGCGGATCAGTTACGACCCTCAGCGATTGGACGCTTAGCGGTTTTGCTCGTTTGTAACCCGCAACTGCTAATTAGTCGAAGAGCTGCAAGTCTCATCATCTCATACAAACAGACTATGCAAATACGTTTCTCTGAATTTTCAGACATACGTTCTAGAATTCTCTGAAAAATCATACAACTTTTTCATACTTCTCTGATAGTGAAAAGTGCATCAGACAAAGTGCGCAAACCTTGTCCGATTCCTCAGACACATTTTTTTCCAAAAGAGAACCCTGCGCCCCACCTACCTAAACAGTACAAATATGCAACCTGTCGGGCGGGCTTTAAATGTTTGGTACCCAGTTACGTTGGCGAATATGAAGTGTCAGGCTTGGAAATGCCTCAGACATTGTGCTGTGCTAGAGGGGGGGAGACCAACCGTAAAACCAGTTCAACAAAATGAGAATCCGCAAGTTCACGGAAGAACGGTGCTGCTGCACCGTTAGATCATAAAGAGCCTTTGATCTGACGGCTGAGTGACTGGGCGTTTGAATCGATGGCTACAAACAAAGTAGAAATTTGTTGCGCAAAACCTGACACGTTCCAAACCTTCCAAAACCTGATTCTTGGTTTGGAGTTTTTTGTCGAAACAAAATGGCCTCGCCATATGCGTTTCGTTATCGTAGTTTTGTTTATGCCTCATGTACCAATCAGTGCCTTTCTGTCTCAACCAAGTGTTAAACTCCAGTTATTATGAGATGGAGTCTAACACTGATTGGCGGATTGGCTATTTTGCACTGTGACATTTCCGGCACTACTGCTCGTTACGTGGAGATTATTTTCTTGTTACTAGGGGTGGGACTTAGCGTCAATGTGTGCCTCTGCTCGGCACGCAGCTGATGGCCCACATTGTTGAATTATATATCTGATATAGATAATGGTAGGCTTGGTAAGTGTTACTGGATTCTACTGTAGAGGGTACAACCCCCACTCTTGTATCCCTCTCTCTTCTTTGCAAAGTCCTCTTTTCTCTCGACATTTTCTCCTAGCCTAAACCCTCTCCTACTTTCATGGCTGTCTAGCATCCTTAGTTTAACATGGTTTCATAGTAGGTTGCTCTTCCTGGGCCTGCTTATAACGCTTCCGCCGTGTACTCCTCCTCTCTCTCTCTCTCTCTCTCTCTCTCTCTCTCTCTCTCTCTCTCTCTCTCTCTCTCTCTCTCTCTCTCTCTCTCTCTCTCTCTCTCTCTCTCTCTCTCTCCCTCTCTCTCTCTCTCTCTCTCTCTCTCTCTCTCTCTCTCTCTCTCTCTCTCTCTCTCTCTCTCTCTCTCTCTCTCTCTCTCTCTCTCTCTCTCTCTGCCATGGCAGCCGCGTCGTGCTGCTGTGGCGGCGTCGTCGTGCCGCCGGCCGCGTCGTGCTGCCGCGGCCGTCTCGACGCGCTGCCGGGGCGTCGCGCTGTCGTGGCGTCGACGTCAAGCTGTGGCGGCGTGACGGCGCCGTCGTGCTGCCGTGGCGACGTGCTGCCAGTGCGCTGACGGCACGGGCGGTTGTGGCCAGCGACTCGTCTTAGCGCTGGCCAGCACGCCCGCATGCAGCCAGCACGCTACACGGGGCGGCACGCTCCGGGGCTGCGCTGCTGAAGCCCCGCCCCCTTCCCCTGTGTCCCCTCTTCCTCACCGCAGCCGACGGCTGACTCGCGTCGGCCGTCCCACCGTCGCGGAGCCCGGCCACGCCGCCGAGTGCTGCGAGCTCCGCCGCCGCCGGCAGCTGTCGTCGAAGCCGCCGCCGCTGCAGCTGATGCCGCTGGCCACGCCGCCGCCGCCGCCGCTGTCGACGCTGCCGCTGTCGCCGCCGTTGCAGCCGCTACACTCGCTGTCGACGTCGCTGTCTCTCACGCCGAGGGGCTAACCCTGCTGGAGTAGCCGCCACTGCTGCTGAGTATGGGGGTGCTAGGCTTAGGGGGTGTGTGGCTTAGTGTGCTGTATGTGTGGTGGGCTTTCAGCTACCAAGCCTAGGGGGTGAGCTAAATTATATATTTGGTATATATAATGGTTGGCTTGGTAGGTGTTACTAGATCCTACTGTACAGGGCACAACCCCCCTTCTTGTATCCCTCTCTCTTCATTGCAAAGTCCTCTTTTCTCTCGACATTTTCTCCTAGCCTAAACCCTCTCCTACTTTCATGGCTGCCTAGCGTCCTTAGTTTAACACACATCTGGCCTAGCCATCTGATCGTAGTAGTCTTTGACTCTGGAGGGGTGGGGCTCGATGCCTAAAGAGATGTTCTGCACTTGCTTGCTAGGCTGTAATGCATGCATGTTGCTTTTATAATGAAATGGTTCACTCTTAGTACGTCACCACCATCGCCTTCAGCTGATGCTGTGCAGTACTCATTACAAGGATGTCAACAAATATATCTATATAGCTTAGCTAGGTCATATTTGTTTATAGCCTACTATCGCATGACGCCTCTAACTGGCTGTTCTACCACCCGTCATACCACCGCTTACAAAGAGGGTGTTTACAGATAGGTTGAGAGGGCGGGTGTGGGCGGGGATGAGGGCAGCAAGATGGTGGAGTGGTTGGAGGGGCTCATGCCTTGCACGCCTGCTCCTTGCTCTTGGCGCTTCAAACCATGTCACGGATGGCCTGCTGCCCACTGCATTGCCCTACGTGTTTCAGTCGCCTGTGAGCAAGTGCTTTATCCCCTGCCATGCCTCACCCCATCCCCCCGTTGGGCCCGCCAGCTGCTGCAGAAGGACCCGGCGAAGCGGCTGGGCAGCAGGCCCAGGGGCGTGGAAGAGATCCGCGCGCACAAGTGGTTCAAGGGCGTGCACTGGCAGCGCCTCGAGGCCTGCCAGGTGCAGCCGCTCTTCCTCCCCGCCATGACGGGTGGCAAGCAGTGCACCGCCAACTTCGACACGGTGTGGACGCAGATGCGATGTACGACTCGCCCGCCAGCACGCCCACCATGGGCAGCGCGGATGCCTTCTTCCGCAACTACACCTTCATCGCCAGCCATGCTGCGCTGTCCACCGTTGATGGCGACAGTGGTGGCGAGGTGGGCAGTGGCAGGTCGGAGGAGAGGGAAGAGGAGGAGGACGAGGAGGGGGGAGAGGGAGGGGAGGGAGAGGAGTAAGTGGTGGAGAGGCAGTGAGGATTAGTGGTGCGCATAGTGGCACGTGTAACCACCATTCCACCCCGCTATCCACCTCACCGCGTACTTGCTTGGCCCATCCTGCACCCACACCCATGTGTGCTCGTCCAGCCACAGCACCATGCACTCATGGTCCCGCGCCCTCCCATGCGCACTGCATGCCGTGAACCGCAACACAACATGTGCTCTTACATCCTCAACACCTTCCGCCCCACAGCTGCGCCCTGCCACCCACACACTCAGGATGGAGCTGCAATTTTGTGTAAGTCCATTGGACACCCCACCGCTTATTTACCTCGTAGATGGTAGATGCTTTCATTTACTCGTATAGTGCTCTTATGGCAAATGTAAAAAGGTTAGTAATACTTTTATAGTTAGATACTATTTTTTTGTTGTAAGCCACGCGTTGTAAGCATACAAGAGAGATTTGCATCAGTAGCGAGTCTGCGCTCACATCCATGTCGTGCTGCCCCCGATCCCTCAACTTGCCCTGCCTCCTCAAAACCTCCGCCCTCGATGCTTACTCGCTGCTCCCCTTTTCGATATTCCGCCATCAACCGCGTGCGCAAGGCCTGCACCGTCTTTGCGCCATCCGCGCGGAGAGCCGCATTCCGTATGCCGTTTGCCACGTGTGCAGCGGGGCCGGCATTGGCCCCGCTGTCGCTACCCGCGCGGACAGCCGCATCTGCCACAGCCGCCCGCTGCGGCGCGTTCGCCTCCCCATACTACCCACCGTCGGCGCTCGCGTGTAGCCTTCCGCGCGCCGACCCCACCGCGGCCGCGCCGCCCCCGAACGCGTCGAGGGCCGCGGCGAGGGCGCAGCGGCTCCCTGGGGGGAGAATTCGCGCACTGGCGGTGTCGGTGGCGGAGGGGCAGACGGCGGAGGGGTCTGCGAGTGAGGAAGAGTTTGAGGCGGTGATCGGCATCGAGACGCACGTGCAGCTGAGCACTGACACCAAGGTGCGAGGCACGTGGGGGGCACGTGGTGAGCACGTGGGGCATATAGTAGGGAGCAAAGCATGGCACGGGCGGTGCTCGGCCGGTGGATTCACGGCGCCGGCGCTGGGCGTGCATCGTCGCGCTCTCCGCTCTGCCACCACTCGCTCCCGCTCCTCAAACCTTCCCTTTCCACCATTCCCCGCATCCACATTCTCTCGCCTCTTCTCTCCTCTCCTCTCCCGTCTGCCCCCTCACCTAACACCAGCCCTCCGCGGCCTCGCCAGTCGGCGCAGCAGCACGCATCTGCTGCAAGGCCCCCCCCTCCCGCCATGCAACACGCACTTCCTTGCATGTCCCGCTCACTCCCGCCCATGCCCCATCCTCTCGCCCCCTCACCCCATCCCCTGACCCCCATCCTCTCGTCCCCTGACCCCCATCCTCTCGCCCCCCTGACCTCCATCCTCTCGTCCCCTGACCCCCATCCTCTCGCCCCCCTGATCCCCATCCTCTCGTCCCCTGACCCCCATCCTCTCGCCCCCCTGACCCCCATCCTCTCGTCCCCTGACCCCCATCCTCTCGCCCCCCTGATCCCCATCCTCTCGTCCCCTGACCCCCATCCTCTCGCCCCCCTCACTCCGCCCCCAGGCCTTCTGCAGCTGCCCGTCGCGCTATGGCGCGCCGCCCAACGAGCACGTCTGCGCCACGTGCATGGGGCTGCCGGGCGCGCTGCCTGTGCTCAACGGCGCCGTGGTGGCGGCGGCGGTGCGCCTGGGGCTGGCGCTGCAGTGCCGCGTGGCAGAGAGGAGCAAGTTCGACCGCAAGCAGTACTTCTACCCCGACCTGCCCAAGGGCTACCAGGTGCGCGCGCTGCCAAGTGGGCTGCCAGGTGAGCTGCCTGGCGCCAGGAGGACTAGCATATGAGGTAGCAGGTGGGGCCGTGTAGGGCCAGCAGAGAAAGGGCAGTGCAGCGGTGGGTGCTGCGAGCCACGCTCACTGTCTATCGCTACTCTCATGCCCGCACCCCTCCCTCCCTCCATCCATCCCTCCTCTGATCCCTCCTTCGCTCCTCGGCCTCCTTCTGCCATGCACCGTGCCACCCCAACGCACACAGATATCGCAGTTCGACGAGCCGCTGGCGAGCGGCGGGCACGTGGTGGTGGACATGCCCGTGGAGGCGGGCGGCGGGAGAAAACGCTTCGGGGTGACACGCGCACACCTGGAGGAAGATGCGGGGAAGTCGCTGCACGGGGGCGATGGCAGCCAGGTGAGTGGAAGGCAGGTGAGTGGAAGGCAGGCGAGTGGAAGGCAGGCGAGTGGAAGGCAGGCGAGTGGGAGTCAGGCGAGTGGAAGGCAGGCGAGTGGAAGGCAGGCGAGTGGAAGGCAGGCGAGTGGAAGGCAGGCGAGTGGAAGGCAGGCGAGTGGAAGGCAGGCGAGTGGAAGTCAGGCGAGTGGAAGGCAGGCGAGTGGAAGGCAGGCGAGTGGAAGTCAGGCGAGTGGAAGGCAGGCGAGTGGAAGGCAGGCGAGTGGAAGGCAGGCGAGTGGAAGCTGGCGCGCCGTAGCTGACAGCAAGGATGGGAGCGCGATCAGCATTTATTGGAGTGGTGGTGTGCTGGCTTTTGCAGCAGGCGTTGGAAGGATTAGATCACTTCAAGCCGATGCCATTGCCATGGCCGCACCATGGCCATCCCATCCCGCCTTCCTGCCCGTGCCACCACCCTCATCCCCTCTCAGGTGGATCTGAACCGAGCGGGGGTGGCACTGGTGGAGGTGGTATCTGAGCCCGACATGCGCACCGGCGCTGAGGCAGCTGAGTACGCCGCGGAGCTGCAGAGAATGGTGCGTAGGAGCTCCAGAGAATGGTGCGTAGGAGCTCCAGAGAATGGTGCGTAGGAGCTCCAGAGAATGGTGCGTCGGTGCAGCGTGCCATGGAATGTACACTGTGTGCGCTGTATGTGTGCGCTGTATGGGTGCGCTGTATGTGTGCGCTGTATGTGTGCGCTGTATGTGTGCGCTGTATGTGTGCGCTGTATGGGTGCGCTGTATGTGTGCGCTGTATGGGTGCGCTGTATGGGTGCGCTGTATGTGTGCGCTGTATGTGTGCGCTGTATGTGTGCGCTGCACGTGTGCGCTGCACGTGTGCGCTGCATGTGTGCGCTGCACGTGTGCGCTGCATGTGTGCGCTGGATGTGTGCGCTGCATGTGTGCGCTGTATGTGTGCGCTGTATGTGTGCGCTGTATGTGTGCGCTGTATGTGTGCGCTGTATTTGTGCGCTGTATGTGTGCGTTGTATGTGTGCGCTGTATGTGTGCGCTGCATGTGTGCGCTGCATGTGTGGCTGCATGTGTGCGCTGCATGTGTGCGCTGCATGTGTGCGCTGCATGTGTGCGCTGCATGTGTGCGCTGCATGTGTGCGCTGCATGTGCGCGCTGGATGTGTGCGCTGCATGTGTGCGCTGTATGCGTGGCACACACAGTGCTGTGCAGTCATCCAAGCAATGGTCTGTTTTGGACCTTTTGTGCAGCTGAGGCATTCTTCCACCAAATCTCGTCTTTCTCTTCAGCTCCTCCTTTGTTCCTTGTACCATCCTGCAACCATGCACCTTGTACCGTCCTGCAACCATGCACCTTGTACCGTCCTGCAACCATGCACCTTGTACCGTCCTGCAACCATGCACCTTGTACCGTCCTGCAACCATGCACCTTGTACCGTCCTGCAACCATGCACCTTGTACCGTCCTGCAACCATGCACCTTGTACCGTCCTGTAATTATGCACCTTGTACAGTCCTGCAACCGTGCACCTTGTACCGTCCTGCAACCATGCACCTTGTACCGTCCTGCGACCATGCAGTGCATGCAGTCCATGCAGCCCATATGCACTACCCTGTGCGCCCTCACCTCACGGGCACCGCGTGCGGCCCATCCCGTGCGTGCGCCCCCAGGTGCGGTACGTGGGCGTGGGCAACGGCAACATGGCGGAGGGCTCCATGCGCTGCGATGTCAACGTCTCCGTGCGACCCAGGGGGCAAGAGAGCTTCGGCACCAAGGTGAGAGGCTCGGCACCAAGGGGAGAGGCTCGGCACCAAGGGGAGAGGCTCGCCAGGACCAAGGTGTGTTGTGAGGGAAGGCGATGGGGATGGGGTGGCGACCCATGGTTTGAGGTACTTCTAGGAGACTTGGGCACGAAGGCTAGCAGCGGTCCCAAGCACAAATTCCATTCAGCAGTGGGAAAGTTGCATCCTTTCGCACACTTGCCTGCAGCGACGTTTTTCACCACACGCACCGTCATCCAATGCATGGAGGCTTGCTGATGGTTTCAAGTGCGAGCCCCTGTGTGCGTGTGCGTGTGGCTGAGCGTGTGGCTGTGCGTGCATCTGCGGCAGGTGGAGGTGAAGAACATGAACTCGTTCCGCGACATGCAGCGCGCCATCGACTTCGAGATCCGCCGCCAGTCAAGCCTGCTGAGAGACGGCAGGGCGCATGAGATCGTGCAGGAGACCCGCCTCTGGGACGAGGCCACCCAGGTGGGACGAGGGCTCCCAGGTGGGACGAGGGCTCCCAGGTGGGACGAGGGCTCCCAGGTGGGACGAGGGCTCCCAGGTGGGATGAGGGCTCCCAGGTGAGACGCGGGCAGGCAGGTGAGAGGCGTATTCCTCGTCCATCTTTCCTCAAATCATTGCCGTGCTCTTCTCTCGCCTCCTGTGCTCACTCGTCTCTCACTTCAATTCCTCAAATTCGTCCTCCTTCAAACCCCCCCTTTCCCACCGCCCCCAGCAAACGGCGCCCATGCGGTCCAAGGAAGGCCTGGCGGACTACCGCTACTTCCCCGAGCCCGACCTGCCCGCACTGGCCCTCTCACAGCCCTTCCTAGAGCAGCTGCGCGCCGACCTGCCCGAGCTGCCCGAGCAGAGGCGGCGGCGCTACGAGGCGCTGGGGCTGCCCATGCAGGACGTGCTCGTGCTGGCAGACGACAAGGAGGTGGGGGGGGAGGTGACTCAGGGCAGGTGATTACAAGGAGGTGATTATAAGGAGGTGATGTTAAGGGAGAGATGATAAAGGGGGGAGGATAAGGGGGTGGTTATAGGGAGGTGAGTATAAGGAGGTGATGATAAGGGAATGGCTACACTGCTATAAGGAGGAGTGGGGGTCGTGTGGCGAGGTGATGGCATGGGAGCCGCAGTGCAGCTGCCACGGCAGGGCATGTGTGGGAACGATTGGAAGCACGCTTTTGAGTCAACTCAAGAGCGATTGGAAGCACACGCTTTTGAGTCGACTCAAGAGCGATTGGAAGCACACGCTTTTGAGTCGACTTCAGAGCGATTGGAAGCACACGCTCTTGAGTCGACTCATGAGCGATTGGAAGCACACGCTTTTGAGTCGACTTCAGAGCGATTGGAAGCACACGCTCTTGAGTCGACTCAAGAACGATTGGAAGCACACGCTCTTGAGTGGACTCAAGATCGATTGGAAGCACACGCTTTTGAGTCGACTCAAGAGCGATTGGAAGCACACGCTGTTGAGTTGACTCAAGAGCGATTGGAAGCACACGCTCTTGAGTCGACTCGAGCGATTGGAAGCACAGGCTCTTGTGTTGACTCAAGAGCGATTGGAAGCACACGCTCTTGAGTCGACTCAAGAGCGATTGGAAGCACACGCTTTTGAGTCGACTCAAGAGCGATTGGAAGCACACGCTTTTGAGTCGACTTAAGAGCGGTTGGAAGCACACGCCCCTCTCTCCTCTCGCCCCCCCTCTCTTTCCAGTTCTCGGACTACTTTGACGGTGTGCTGGCGGCGGGGGCGGACGCCAAGGCGGCGGCGAACTGGCTGATGGGGGACTTGACGGCGCTGCTCAAAGCGGAGCGCAGGAGCGTGGCGGGCATGGCGGCGGTGATGCCGCCCAGCAGCCTGGCGGAGCTCATCGCACTCATCCAGGAGGGCACCATCAGCGGCAAGATCGGCAAGGAGGTGCGCCCAGGGGCGAGGAGGGGAGAGGGAGGCGAGGAGGTGAGAGAGAGGCGAGGAGGTGAGAGAGAGGCGAGGAGGTGCGAGAGAGGCGAGGAGGTGCGAGAGAGGCGAGGAGGTGCGAGAGAGGCGAGGAGGTGCGAGAGAGGCGAGGAGGTGCGAGAGAGGCGAGGGGGTGCGAGAGAGGCGAGGAGGTGCGAGAGAGGCGAGGAGGTGAGAGAGAGGCGAGGAGGTGCGAGAGAGGCAAGGAGGTGCGAGAGAGGCGAGGAGGTGCGAGAGAGGCGAGGAGGTGCGAGAGGCGAGGAGGTGCGAGAGAGGCGAGGAGGTGCGACAGAGGCGAGGAGGTGCGACAGAGGCGAGGAGGTGCGAGAGAGGCGAGGAGGTGCGAGAGAGGCGAGGAGGTGCGAGTGAGGCGAGGAGGTGCGAGAGAGGCGAGGAGGTGCGAGAGAGGCGAGAAGGTGCGAGAGAGGCGAGGACGTGAGAGAGAGGCGAGGAGGTGTGAGAGAGGCGAGGAGGTGCGAGAGAGGCGAGGAGGTGCGAGAGAGGCGAGGAGGTGCGAGAGAGGCGAGGAGGTGCGAGAGAGGCGAGGAGGTGCGACAGAGGCGAGGAGGTGCGACAGAGGCGAGGAGGTGCGAGAGAGGCGAGGAGGTGCGAGAGAGGCGAGGAGGTGCGAGAGAGGCGAGGAGGTGCGAGAGAGGCGAGGAGGTGTGAGAGAGGTGAGGAGGTGAGAGGGGAGGAGCTGAGAGGCACGGAACTATGTTGCAAAAAACGCTAAGGGAGGGGTGGGCGAAACGCGAGAAAAACTCTTGGCCCGGCAGGTAAAACAAATTCCGGGAAGCGTTGCCCTGGGCTGGGGTTGTGTTGCGTGGATTGGACATGGCTGCTGTTGAGAAGTGGCGCTATGACTTTAGCACGCTAGGAGAAATTAGGTCGTTGCTCCTAGGTAGCTAAAATCGTGAGGCAAATTTGCGGGATGGAGCTTGATATGCGCCGGATCTTCTTTTTGACAAGTCTCAGACGAGAGATGGTTGGGCTTTCTAAATGGGCTGTGGAGTGGTCGTGTGCGGTTGCAGGAATTTTGGGGGTTGGGACAAGTTTCGGACCCCCAATGTCAATTTCGCGACTTGCTGGAGCTCCTGGTTAGATTCGACGCATCGGCAAGTGTTGCGATTGTTTTCCGCTTTTTTTTCGATGGGCTGCCCAAAAACGCGAGCATACAGCGTTTTTTGCAAGCTAGGCAAGGAGGAGCGTGGTGCTGGTGCTGTGGGTGCGGGATCTCAGTTACGGATCTCAGTGGGTTCAAGGCTTTTGCACCTTTGTGACGCCATGTATCCCCTATCCAATCATACAAGGAGGTCAAGCTGTTTTCCATCCCATTTCATTCCTCTCTTTGCACTTTTCTCTCCGATCCACTGCTTCCATGCCCATCTCATCTCCTTCACCGCCGTCTGTCTTTGCCTTGCACCCGCCTCCCCCTCCCTCGCCGCCTCTCTCTTCCAATTTCATTGCTGCCATTTCCTTCTTTCCCCCTCCTCCTCTCCTCTCTCACTATCCCCCTCTCCCCCCGTGCCCCGCAGCTGCTGCTGGTGCTCTTCATGGAGGGGGGCAGTGCGCGCAAGCTGGTGGAGGCCAAGGGGCTGCTGCAGGTGAGGGGTGGTGCAGGTGAGGGGTGGAGCAGGTGAGGGGTGTGACAGTGAGGAGTATGGAGATTGATGATGCGCTGTTCGGATGCGTGAGCAAGCAGGTGGTCAGGATCCGTGGGGCGAGTGCGTGGAGAGCAAAGCCTTGTGGACTGTGCTGTGATGTGATGTGATGTGATGTGATGTGATGTGATGTGCTGTGCTGTGCTGTGCTGTGCTGTGCTGTGCTGTGCTGTGCTGTGCTGTGCTGGTGGCGTGTGGCTGTGCTGTGCTGTGCTGTGCTGGTGGCTGTGCTGTGCTGTGCTGTGCTGTGCTGTGCTGTGCTGTGCTGTGCTGTGCTGTGCTGTGCTGTGCTGTGCTGTGCTGTGCTGTGCTGTGCTGTGCTGTGCTGTGCTGTGCTGTGCTGTGCTGTGCTGTGCTGTGCTGTGCTGTGCTGTGCTGTGCTGTGCTGTGCTGTGCTGTGCTGTGCTGTGCTGTGCTGTGCTGTGCTGTGCTGTGCTGTGCTGTGTGCTGTGCTGTGCTGTGCTGTGCTGTGCTGTGCTGTGCTGTGCTGTGCTGTGCTGTGCTGTGCTGTGCTGTGCTGTGCTGTGCTGTGCTGTGCTGTGCTGTGCTGTGCTGTGCTGTGCTGTGCTGTGCTGTGCTGTGCTGTGATGTGATGTGATGTGATGTGATGTGATGTGATGTGATGTGATGTGATGTGATGTGATGTGATGTGATGTGATGTGATGTGATGTGATGTGATGTGATGTGATGTGATGTGATGTGATGTGATGTGATGTGATGTGATGTGATGTGATGTGATGTGATGTGATGTGATGTGATGTGATGTGATGTGATGTGATGTGATGTGATGTGATGTGATGTGATGTGATGTGATGTGATGTGATGTGATGTGATGTGATGTGATGTGATGTGATGTGATGTGATGTGATGTGATGTGATGTGCCGCACAAGTGGATCGCACCTGAGTCCACCCTCACCTCTTCAGCTGTCAATCAGAGCACGGTACGCGAGGGGTTGGAGGTTTCTTGGTTGTTCGAACACTTCTTACTGGCCGTGCCGACAACAGTTGATGATGACACTAGGAACAAACTCCCGTAGATTTGTCAACAGCTTCGTCAAAGCACGTTGTGACTGTGGCCAACTCGGCTGTGGAGACAACTTGTTGAGAAAGCAAAGCACGCACCTTGATGTCGGGAGGCTCCCCATTGCGTTGCGTGGCGTGTGACAGCCATGTGGCGCGAGCGCCGTTGGCGTGGATGGAATGTCGTGCATTGGCTCATGGGCTGTGGGGTGACTCATGGGATGTGGGGTGACTCATGGGCTGTGGGGTGACTCATGGGATGTGGGGTGACTCATGGGATGTGGGGTGACTCATGGGATGTGGGGTGACTCATGGGATGTGGGGTGACTCATGGGATGTGGGGTGACTTATGGGATGTGGGGTGACTCATGGGATGTGGGTTGACTCATGGGATGTGGGGTGACTCATGGGCTGTGGGGTGACTCATGGGATGTGGGGTGACTCATGGGATGTGGGGTGACTCATGGGATGTGGGGTGACTCATGGGATGTGGGGTGACTCATGGGATGTGGGGTGACTCATGGGATGTGGGGTGACTCATGGGATGTGGGGTGACTCATGGGCTGTGGGGTGACTCATGGGCTGTGGGGTGACTCATGGGCTGTGGGGTGACGGTCAAGTAGAATGCGTCAGAGAGCACGAGGGCAGCGCCTGTTCGGAATATCCAGGCGAGTGTCCATATGGCAGATTGGCGGTACATGGCAGAATCCTAATTCGATCAAATCCAGATAACGACCCTTCCCCTTCACTTTCTTACCATAACCATCCCTCTCCGCATGCCCACCCGCCTTGTGTGTCCTCCCACCCTTCACCTGTGACCATCCACCCCGCGCCGTGCGTGCAGATATCGGACGAGGCGGTCATCGAGCGGCTGGTGGACGAGGTGCTGGCAGGCAACGCGAAGCAGCTGGAGCAGTACCGCGCGGGCAAGACCAAGCTGCAGGGCTTCTTCACGGGGCAGGTGGGCTTCTTCACGGGGCAGGCAGTTGGGGTGATAGCCATGGCGTGGACAAGCTTGTGGCGAGTTGGTGCCTCCGGCCCGTACGCACCCACCTGCTCAAGTGTGCCAGGCAGTGAGCGCCCAAGTGCTGCCCCGGTGGCTGCCACCGTCTGCTGCCGGCTCCTGGGGGGGCGCTTCCATCCGTCGGTTATAGGAGAGCTCATGCGCGCTGTGTGCATGCTGTTGGGCTGCCAGTAGCATTAATCTGAGTATGGCTGCATGCTGGCACACGTGTTTGAGCGTGTGTGCAGCGTGGTGATGGCCACGCGCATGCGGTCGTATGTGCATGCGATTGAGGTGGGGGCCTTGTCTTGAGCTGTATTCAGCAATGTTGGTGTTGGTGTTGGTGTTGGTGTTGGTGTTGGTGTTGGTGTCGCTGTCGCTGTCGCTGTCGCTGTCGCTGTCGCTGTTGCTGTTGCTGTTGCTGTTGCTGTTGCTGTTGCTGTTGCTGTTGCTGTTGCTGTTGCTGTTGATGTTGCTGTTGCTGTTGCTGTCGCTGTCGCTGTCGCTGTCGCTGTCGCTGTCGCTGTCGCTGTCGCTGTCGCTGTCGCTGTCGCTGTCGCTGTCGCTGTCGCTGTCGCTGTCGCTGTCGCTGTCGCTGTCGCTGTCGCTGTCGCTGTCGCTGTCGCTGTCGCTGTCGCTGTTGGTGTTGGTGTTGGTGTTGGTGTTCCCCCTCCTCTGCCCACTCACATGCGCCTGTGCATGGCGGTTGTCACATTGCCCGTCACCAACATGGTGTGCAGGTGATGAAGGCATCGGGAGGGCGAGTCAACCCGGGCCTCATGAACAAGATCCTCATGAAGAAGCTCAATGCACCGCCGTGACATGTGCAAGGGAGAAATGGCTATATTCAATAGATGCACGACGGGGCAACAGGCGGATGGCTCTGGCAGATCAATGGCCGTGAATCAGGCCCCTAGATTGCGGGAAATTTTCCTGATTCAGGAAAAAAAAAGGGTTGTTGCTGGTACTAGCCCTGATTGCGCAGGATTTTGTAAAAGGCATCTCCTGATTTTTCAGCCTTTTTTTAGTGGTCAACTCTGATTCCTCCACAAGGTTTTCTTAGCGAACCCTGAAATTTCAGCTTTGTAATAAACTGTACCTGTTTCCGCCAATTCTTGATTTGGGGTGTCTCTCGAGATTTCTGAGGTTTTTCCCTCCTCTAGGCTGTGTGAGAGCGCTGATTCGCCCCTCGTCAGACTTGGGGCTCGATGCTTGCTAGGGGCTGTGTGAGGGCACTTGGTGGCCTTATTTTGGGCCCGATGTGTGCCTTGGCTTGGAGCCTTGTTAGGGCGACAATCCCCTTCGCCCCTGCAATCTCGCTCGCCTAACTAAATTTGTGTCTTACCCCATAATTTTGTCAAGTGACCCGCTGGGGGTTACCCTTGAGAAGATCCTAGGGGAAGGGCCACAGGTGCAGAGCCTGGGGGGCTATGGGCGCACTGACCCGCTATTAACAAGCCATTTTAACTCAGTGGTTAGTGGCTGAGTTTCTGACAAATTTCGCCCTGCACGCGTGAATTCGCTATGGGAATAAGTAACCACAAAGCTTTGAGAATTCAGGAAAGCTATCGTTGCTCAAGAAAAAAAAAAAACCCGTGAGTCCTGATTCATGCGAATGTTATTTTGGGCCAACTCTGAAAAATCAGGGGAAATCTCATGGAGAATCCTGGGCGATCAGCATGCTTGAAAACCAATCTAGGGGCCTGGTCGAGATATTGCAAGGGCGTGGAGACCGAGATTGCAGTGGCCAAGGGAATCAAGTTGGCAGGGGAGGTCGACACAGAAGGGGCAGGGAAGGGGAATCTTGCACTCCACTCCCCCTGCGAGCACACGTTGACCCTAAATCTGGTGAAGGGCCTAAGACGCCCTCACACAGCCAACAATGCATCTCGCTCGAGCCCTAGATTTGGTGAAGGGCCACTCAACGCCCTCACAAGCCTTCGAGCACAAATGGCACGGTGATTTTGATGAAGGGACAATTAGTCCCCTCACACAGCCTCGAGCACAGGCCACACGATGATTTCGCTGGTGCGTGTGACATGACCTGTTCTGAGGGACATGGGGGCACGGCTAGGTACAGGGGGCGGGGGCAATTTCACAGGTATCCGCCCTATACACTGACCATCAGAGTGGTACGAAGGTTTACTCGAATAAAATCCGAGTAAAAACTAAAATAAATCTTTTTTTCTCAGGGCCCCTGGAGGAGTTTTTAAAAACGACTCTGATTTTCAGTGAAACAGAGTAAATTACTCTGATAAAATAGACCTTGACCGCCCAGCCCCTAGCGTGCCCAGCCCTTAGCACGCCCCGACCTTAGCGCGTCGCTGCGCCGACCTGCCCCACCCCTCCGTGCCGCGCCGGCCCTTTCTCGCCGCGCCTGTCCCAACTCGTCGTCAGCTCCCGCTTGTCGGGCCGGCCCTTTTCTCGCCACGCCGGCCCTAACTCGCCGCTTCGGCCCAAGCTCGCGTCAGCCCCAGCTCGTCGCCGGCCCTAGCTTGATGCGCCGGCCCTATCTCACCGAGTCGGCCCTAGCTCGAGTCGGCCCCGGCTCGCCGCCGGCCCCGGCTCGCCGCCAGCCCCGTCTAGCCGCCGGCCCTAGCTCGCCGCGCCGGCCCTAGCACGCCGCTTCGGCCCCATCTCGCCCCCCGCCCCAGCTTGCCGCCGGCCTCAGCTCGCCGCCGGCCCCCGCCCGCTAAGAACGCCTGAGCGTTCTCTACAGAGGTAAAGCGGGGACGCTCAGACAGGGGGAGGGCATGTTTAATGGCAAGCTGCGCTACGGCGTCGCGCGAATCCCAGATAGTGCGAGCAAGCGCAGCAGCGGTAAAGGCCTCACGCTCAGCAGTGGTGGGGGCGTCAGTGAGGGCAACAGGCGCGGGGGGGCGGGGAAGCAAGCCATCGACATGAATAGTCATGGAGTGGCCATCCTGGCGTTCACCTGTCAGGTATCGACGAAGGTCGACAAGCAAGGCGTCGAAGTCGATCACGCGCCCCTCTGCATCCAGGCACAGCACAGCGTCCGCCATCACACCTCCTCAGCGACACGGCGGCTCGGCGACACGGCGGCACGACGACGCGGCTCCACGGCGCCACGACGGCACTGCGGCACGGCTACACTGCGGCGCGGCTCTACGGCTCCACGACATGACGCGGTGGCGGCGGGAGGACGGTGGCACGGCTACGGCACGGCGACCGCACGGTGGTACGGCGGCACGGCGGCGGCGCGGCATGCTGGGGACGGCAGGAACGAGAGCTGGCTCGAACGGGGCCAGCGGGGCGCAAGGGACCAGCAGGGCGCTAGGGGGCCAGCGGGGCAGGAACGGGGCCAGCAAGGTGCATGGAGCCAGCAAGGCGCACGGGGCCAGTAAGGTGCACGGGGCCAGCAAGGGCGCACAGGGGCCAGCGGGGCACGACGAAACCGGTGAGGCACGGCACTAATGCTAGGGCGTACGGGGCGTACGTGACGGACGGGGCGAGGAGGGCGCTACCGGGCCAGCGGGGCGCTAAGGGGCCTGCAGGGCGTACGGGGCCGGCGGGGCGCACGGGGTAAGCGAGGCTAGACGGGGCCAGCGGGGCGCTAACGGGGCCTGCGAGGCGCACGGGGCTAGCAGGGCGCGACGGGGCTAGCGGGGCGTACGGGGCCAAGAGGGCGCTAACGGGGCTGCGGGGCGCCTAGGGGCCAGCAGGACGTACGGGGCCAGGAGGGCGCTAACGGGCCAGCGGGACGTACGGGGCCAGGAGGACGCTAACGGGCCAGTGGGGCGCTAAGGGGCCAGCAGGGCATACGGGGCCAGGAGGGCGCTAACGGGCCAGCGGGGCGCTAAGGGAATAGCGGGGCGCTAAGGGAAGGGCGAGGGCGGAAGCGGGTGGGAGGACGGAACCTGCTCGATACCATCTTAGAGTAGCGAGATAGTCTAGAAACAACAGTACAGAGTACTTTTACCTAGTGGGTTGTACTCTCTAAAGGCATACACCTAACTAGTCTATACTAACATATTGCATATATGTTTGACACACACCTCCCCCCCCTCCTTTCCCCTCCCCTCCCCTCCCCTCCCCTCCCCTCCTCTCCCCTCCCCTCCTCTCCCCTTCCCCCCCCCTCCCCTCCGCCCCCCCCCCTCCCCTCTACTCCCCTCCCCTCCCCTCCTCTCTAACAGCCCTTATTAGGGCGTATTCCTACAAAGTCGGATCAGACAAACTTGGATCAGGCTTTCGTAGTGGAAGAGTCAATGTGTGCATTCTAGTGCGGTTTTTTTCAGTAATGCACAGGTCTAGTCCCACTCTGTCTGATCTAGACACATGATGGAATGGTACTATTGTCAAATATATGTATAACTCATATTTGTATAGACTGTATAGGGTCACCTCTTAGAGGGTACAACACTCTTAGGTATATACACTTGTTCTCTCCCTCTATGCAATCATTCAGTTTTTCTTTGAGATGGTATCACCCGTAGGTTGGTTGCCCTCCACCTACCGCTTCCGCCCGTGCCTCCTAGGCCCCGCCACCCCCCTCCGTTCCTCCTAGGCCCCGTCGCGCCCCCCTGGGCCCCACCGCGCTGCCAAGGCCCCGTCGCGCCCCCCTGGGCCCCATCGCGCTGCCTAGGCCCCGTCGCGCCCCCCCCTGGGCCCCATCGCGCTGCCTAGGCCCCGTCGTGCCCCTCCTGGGCCCCTTCGTGCCCCGTAGGCCCCGTCGCGCCCCCTTGGGCCCCATCGTGCCTCCTAGGCCTCGTCGCGCCCCCCTGGGCTCCATCGCGCCTCCTAGGCCCCGTCGCGCCCCCCTGGGCCCCATCGCGCTGCCTAGGCCCCGTCGGGCCCCTCCTGGGCCCCCTTCGTGCCCCGTAGGCCCCGTCGCACCCCTCCTGGGCCCCTTCGTGCCCCATAGGCCCCGTCGCGCCCCCCTGGGCCCCATCGTGCCTCCTAGGCCTCATCGCGCCCCCCTGGGCTCCATCGCGCCTCCTAGGCCCCGTCGCGTCCCACTGGGCCCCATCGCGCTGCCTGGGCCCCGTCGCGCCCCTCCTGGGCTCCTGTAGCGCTTCCTCGCCCGTCGCGCCCCCCCCTGGGCCCCTGCAGCGCCTTCTAGCCCGTCACGCCCCTCCTGGGCCCCTCGTGCCTCCTCGACCCCGTCGCACCTGCCTGGCCCCGTTGTGCCTGCCTGGCCCCGTCGAGCCTGCCTGGCCCTCGCCGCGCTGCCTGGCCCCGCTGCGCCTGCCTGGCCCCGTTGCGCCTGCCTGGCCCTGCCGTGTCTCCTGGCCCCGTCGCGCCTGCCTGGCACTGCCACACCTGCCAGGCCCTGCCGCGCCTGCCTGGCCCCGCCGCACCTGCTTGGCCCCGCAGCGCCTTCTGGCCCCGCCGCGCCTGCCTGGCCCCGACGCCCCTGACTGGCCCGCCGCGCCTGCCTGGCCCTGCCGCGCCTTCTGGCCCCGCCGCACCTTCTGGCCCCGCCGCGCCTGCCTGGCCCCGCCGCGCCTGCCTGGCCCTGCCGCACTGCCTGGCCCCGCCACACCTGCCTGGCCCCGCCGCGTCTTCTGGCCCCGCCGCGCCAGCCTGGCCCCGCCGCACTGCCTGGCCCCGCCGCGCCTGCCTGGCCCTGCCGCGCCTCCTGGCTCCACCGCCCCTGGCTGGCCCGCCGCGCCTGCCTGGCCCGCCGCGCCTGCCTGGCCCTGCTGTGCCTGCCTGGCCCCACCGTCCCTGCCTGCCCCTTTCGCCCCGGCTCGTCCTGCTGTGCCGCCTCGGGCTCCGTCTCCTCTGCTCGCCCGTGCTGAGGCGCTTCGTGGCCACTGTGCTGGAGGGGGCTGTAGCTGAGTTCCTGTGGAGCTGTGCCGCTGACCCTGCACGATGGCGGACTTCGTGCTCCGACTGGATGCTGAGGGCCATGCGGTTGACTTCGCCGCCTGGCTCTCCGATCTCCGCCGCCACCTCACAGGTCAGCGTCAGGATGGCCACTCTTTGGTTGTCCATGTTGACGGCTTGCTCCCCCGCCCCCCTGTACCTGCCCCCCTCCCTGCTGATCCCTCCTCTGATGACCGTGAGACCTTCTCTACTACTGCGCTTGCCCGTGCGGTCTGGGACTCCCGCGATGCAGTCGCTCAGGTTGCTATTAGCCATGCCCTTCCTG